ATCGGCCCTTATCAATCGTTATCAGTTTCTGGCACCCACCAACAATGTCCCCGTCCCACCCCACATAACACTTGTAAGTATGGTTGCTCTGGTGTCAACGCGAGCCAGGCAACGGAATCGACGACTTCAGCGTTCTGGCGCGCCTTATCGGCCCTTATCAATCGTTATCAGTTTCTGGCACCCACCAACAATAAATAACAACAAACAACAATGTCCCCGTCCCACCCCACATAACACTTGTAAGTATGGTTGCTCTGGTGTCAAGGCGAGCCAGGCAACGGAATCGACGACTTCAGCGTTCTGGCGCGCCTTATCGGCCCTTATCAATCGTTATCAGTTTCTGGCACCCACCAACAATGTCCCCGTCCCACCCCACATAACACTTGTAAGTATGGTTGCTCTGGTGTCAAGGCGAGCCAGGCAACGGAATCGACGACTTCAGCGTTCTGGCGCGCCTTATCGGCCCTTATCAATCGTTATCAGTTTCTGGCACCCACCAACAATGTCCCCGTCCCACCCCACATAACACTTGTAAGTATGGTTGCTCTGGTGTCAACGCGAGCCAGGCAACGGAATCGACGACTTCAGCGTTCTGGCGCGCCTTATCGGCCCTTATCAATCGTTATCAGTTTCTGGCACCCACCAACAATGTCCCCGTCCCACCCCACATAACACTTGTAAGTATGGTTGCTCTGGTGTCAACGCGAGCCAGGCAACGGAATCGACGACTTCAGCGTTCTGGCGCGCCTTATCGGCCCTTATCAATCGTTATCAGTTTCTGGCACCCACCAACAATGTCCCCGTCCCACCCCACATAACACTTGTAAGTATGGTTGCTCTGGTGTCAAGGCGAGCCAGGCAACGGAATCGACGACTTCAGCGTTCTGGCGCGCCTTATCGGCCCTTATCAATCGTTATCAGTTTCTGGCACCCACCAACAATGTCCCCGTCCCACCCCACATAACACTTGTAAGTATGGTTGCTCTGGTGTCAACGCGAGCCAGGCAACGGAATCGACGACTTCAGCGTTCTGGCGCGCCTTATCGGCCCTTATCAATCGTTATCAGTTTCTGGCACCCACCAACAATGTCCCCGTCCCACCCCACATAACACTTGTAAGTATGGTTGCTCTGGTGTCAACGCGAGCCAGGCAACGGAATCGACGACTTCAGCGTTCTGGCGCGCCTTATCGGCCCTTATCAATCGTTATCAGTTTCTGGCACCCACCAACAATGTCCCCGTCCCACCCCACATAACACTTGTAAGTATGGTTGCTCTGGTGTCAAGGCGAGCCAGGCAACGGAATCGACGACTTCAGCGTTCTGGCGCGCCTTATCGGCCCTTATCAATCGTTATCAGTTTCTGGCACCCACCAACAATGTCCCCGTCCCACCCCACATAACACTTGTAAGTATGGTTGCTCTGGTGTCAAGGCGAGCCAGGCAACGGAATCGACGACTTCAGCGTTCTGGCGCGCCTTATCGGCCCTTATCAATCGTTATCAGTTTCTGGCACCCACCAACAATGTCCCCGTCCCACCCCACATAACACTTGTAAGTATGGTTTGCTCTGGTGTCAAGGCGAGCCAGGCAACGGAATCGACGACTTCAGCGTTCTGGCGCGCCTTATCGGCCCTTATCAATCGTTATCAGTTTCTGGCACCCAAACAATGTCCCGTCCCACCCCACATAACACTTGTAAGTATGGTTGCTCTGGTGTCAACGCGAGCCAGGCAACGGAATCGACGACTTTTGCGTTCTAGCGCATCTTATCAGCCATTATCAGTTGCTATCGCTTCCAATCATGTACCACCAATGTTCCGGGACCGCCCCACATAAGACTTTGTAAGTATAGACGCTCTCTTACCAATTATGAACGGCAAACGAAAAATTGGCCGAATGTCAGATTTCTAGCCCCTCTCTTATCAGCTATTATCAGTCGTTATCAGTTTCCTATCACGTACCACTTGTGTCCCCATCCCACCCCCTATAACATATTTAAGAACCACTGCGCTATCGTTACTGTGACTCGAGCTATGAATTTCCGTTCAAACATACACACACACACACACACACACCAACAGACACACGCTAGCCGCTTAATATATAGATAGGAATCATGTCCAGCCTGCAATGGATTAGTCATGGACATGAGAACACAGCTGGCAAAGAGCAAAGGATAAGTCATGTCGCGACTTATAATCTGGCCACACGAGGACGGGGCTCGAGGCGACAAGTAAATATATTATACAAATTTCAATAACAGGAACAATTCCAACATTATTGCCATAACCTAGTTTAGTTCTTTAACTTGCAAAAACAAACGCGTCGTCGTGAGAAGACCGTTCCGTTTCTGCGATTTCCGAAACTCCTTTTTTACAAAGTATAAAACCTTTGGAGTAGTTGTCGAAGTCGAACATCCTTATTCAGAAAGTTATGCCTTTCTTCAGTAGCGCTTCAGTGGGACGGGATACCAGAATACTCCTTTCAAAAGTGTTTAAACTGTTGCAAATGTTTAATTCATCGAAAAATCGTTCCATTGTGACCGCTTTGCGGACATGACGGCTATTCAAACATTCTACGCTCACAAGCATTCTTCATATTCAATTTCTTGCAGATTCTAGGGTTAGTTAAAAATAAAAAGATCAGCGCTTCCAAAAAAGCACCGAATCTTTTTTCAAAGTCACTCCTCCAAAAAGTGCACGACTGTGTCGATTTTTCAGAACGCGCGAGTTTTCATCATTCAAACGTTTACAACCTACTTTCAAAATTAACTTTTTGCAGATCAAGGCGAGTTATAAAAAGTAGAATATTTAGACTGTCGAAAAACAATGAAACTCACGTGAAAGATCTCGCATTCTAAAAATAGTCCCAATATTCCGTTTTCTCCTTTTACGGTTTTTTCAGGCCATTTTCTTGAATCAACCTTCTAATACCCATAAGTTTCTCAGAATTGGTAGAACGAGATACGGTGAAAACCATTGTAATCTACAAGATCAGTGCTCTGTAGCATGTGCTACATTTTGGAAGGTACTAGAGTCCTTCTTTTGCCAGAACTTTCTATCAGGACTTGAGAAATCAATGCACCAATTCACTGCACTTCCTTCCACTTTGGTTTGTCTAAAAGCATCAGAATTCTTCAAAAAAAATCCGATCGTGCTCACTGCGGAATAGTGAAGTGACTAAGAACTTCCCGCTCTTGCGATGCACACTCAATTCGTTCATGCTGTTATCAGCATGTGGTGTTTGGGAGTCTTTCCCCTTCGCCACTTTGCCATGCCTTGGTACCTTCATGTTTTGCGTTTCTTGAGCTTCGACCCATCTCCCATGTTCCATCGGTCAAATGCGATCCACTCGTTGAATCTTGCGCAACGGGCTAATGACCCTGATTGAAATACTTCATCGAAGCAAAAGAAATAAATGATGAGCTGCTGATGGACTATGTCTTGAAGGAATAGGTTGTGCAAAGGTGTGAGTAGGATGTTCCGGTGCAGACTCCATCCTGCCAGCCAGCCAATCAGAGATAACCTGGTTGTACGGTACCGCTCTACGAAGCTCCACCCACTCTTTCAGCATATGTTAAAGGCAAAAGTCGGGCTCAATAAGGGGGTATTATGGCGATTGAAACTGAGTATAGAGATGCGAAGTGGAACGACAGTGGAGAAAAAACTGAGAAAAACCGTCGACAAGGCCGTTAACAAAACCCTCTTTCCCACTAGCAGTGAAGGAGGCTGGCTTGGGGAAAGAGGCACGTACAAACAAGTTTTCTGGAGATGTCAGTCGTTCTATCGGTTGATACGGCAATCAACCTAGCTGATTTCACACGTTATGCCAGCCACGCACCACTTCCGGAGGTGGGCGGTCCCGGATTGACGAGGCGGTCCCGGATTGAAACCGACGGCCCCGGGGGCTTAACGACGTTTTTCAAGGTGGGAAGTTGCTGCAATGTGTGCAGCTACCCACATACAACCTCCAGGCACGGGAATTACTTCTCTAGCGTGTCTGAGCCCGACCTTTGCCTTTAAAGAAGGGGGAAAGAATGGGAAGAAGGAAACAGTGTGGTCAGAAATTTCATAAATATTTATTTTCAAAATATATTGTGAAAATAAAGTAACACCGTAAAATTGACCCAATGTACATATATACAAACAATCGCTTGTTAGTAAAAAGAACATGAGATCATATGCAAGGGTAAGGTAACAACAGGTGAGCTTTTTCCCAAATTGAGGTTATAAATATGGAAAATATAGAGTTTAGGCAAAATGTGATTCATTAACTACCGTTCTCCTCCACTCCTGCACACATCCATCGGCTTGATTTCACAGTGATGGGTAGATCGAACTGTTCACCGATATCGCACGCAGTTTTTGCATCCCGGAGTAACTCAGCGGCTGTGATCGTGTTTGTAAATTCTCCAGAGCATTCACAGTACTTTGAGATATTATCCCGTCGTATCTAAAATGGAATACATGAGCAGGAACCATGTTTAGGAACTTGAAAATTAGAAGGACTCACGGATCTGCATTTTACTGCACACGTGATCCTGAAGAAAATACGCCGTCATTAGCATATTCAATCGATCACCAATCATTTGATCGATATTCGACTTGCGAATGCCTAAAAATGGTCATTTTAGTTTGAAGCACGTATTCACGATTGCTTCATTGGACCAATCATGGCGTGAATCAGGTAATTCAAGCTTCCCCTGCCACACGTTTTTCAAGTCGCCATACCGACTACGTTTGCGGCGGCGAGGGGATGGGCAAACCTACATGTATACACGCACATTTTGCGTTTGTGTCTGCGTCTCATCCGTCCGCTATGCTGTATCAAGTCCGCTCTGTTCTCTCTACACTTGGCGCCGTCTCTCACATTTTTCTCGTAGACTGGTCTACCAATCAAAAATCGGGCCTCTTTCTGAATTTTCGACAATTTTCCCCTTTTTCTTCCATGGCGAATCAATGATCACCATCACTTGCTTCAAACTTAAAACTTGCCACTCCGCCTCTGTTCCGGCGGTATGTTTGAAAACGGAATTCAAGCTCAAACTTTCACACCAAGAGAAGATGGCGTCAGCAAGGGAAGCTCTGCTACGGTGTAGAGCATCTCTACGCATCTACGTGGTTTTGATGTTGCCATAGATTTAAAATAATCTTCCACGGAAAGACGCTCATCCTTTCCTTGTGTACAGTGTTGGTCATGGTCATTGAAGACCATGTGCAAAGTTCAGAGCGAAAATGATGAAACCCCCAAGAGAAACAGCCCTTGGAAAGACCCATCTGTGGGACCGGATTGGACCAGTAGGCGGGACCGGAAGTGCTTCTGTGACGAAGTGCGTGGCAGGTGCGGATCCACGTGTCAGTTTATGGGAAGGGCCCAACATGAATCCAGTTCACGTTCACGCTTTTGACACGTTGCACGTGTTGACTCCACGCCGCTAACAGTTGTGGAAGTTTTTACCACGTAATTAATTTCGTATAAACTGGTTAGATGGGAGGAAAAACACTGACTTGTACATCGGCTGGCCCCCGCAAGTCATTGTATAGGCCACATCGCATTCAAACGCCACTACGAATGTACAAATGGAAGTAGAATGCGTGCCGCATCCCAAAAAGGGATTGATCAACGGCAAATGCTTTATCCTTTATCCTTTTAGCTTTTAATTTAATTTTGTACCAATATAAAAACAGCTTCGGAATTCATAAGTTTTCTATTTTGTAACAAGTCAAGAAATATTCAAAATGTAGTGTTTGTTTCAACTAGTATGGTTACATGTTGACGGCCTTTTTTCTTGAAAATGGCATCTTTTTAGTCATTTCGAATAGCTTCTTCAAAAACCTCTTGATGATTTTCAAACTCACATTTGAAGCGCATGACACTGGTCGAATTTCAGGAACGCGCCATGCACTCGACATTTGGCGCAAGTCGCGGTCCCTTCTACTACCGAACAAACTACCGCTGCTTTATCATTGCTGATCTTCGCAATAACGATCTCTTCCTTCCCCTTGTATCCACTACGACTCCGCCCTTCGTCGAGGATTCCTCTACGCACACCTGACTCTGGTCCAGATGGTCGCTGCGTGACCGCGCGCTCAACTCCACGTACTATTCTTCGTACTGCGACAAATAAAAATATAGTATGATCGCTTGCCTGTCCACATTCTTTGCAGGTCCACGACAGCTCGTCTCCTACATCGAGATTGGTAGATAAAGAGCAGTTACTGCAGAACACATTGGGCAAATATATCGTATTCCGAGTCGGAGGAGATTCTTGAGAATCCAAAATCCGGTGAAGATTCTCCCGAAGTCCTTCAACGCTGTCCTCAACAGATGAGTCACACGAAAGCGCAGTGCAGATCTAGAAAAGAACGTGTAAGAAAGGATAAGCCACTACTGTACTATTCTTTGATGTTCAAACTTGCACAGTCGAGGTACAACCAGCAGCGGCTAAAAACACCGCATAACGAAGAAATTATGAACTCCCATCCAGCTAATCTGTACCGCAACGTCAGAAAGCCATGAGAAGCAGTTCTAAGGAAGCATCATTCAGAACCGAACTACACACATTTGACAAGTGACGCAGACTGCTGGTGTGTTAGAACGTTGGACCGGCAGCCTCGAATGACTCGATACAACCGGATGGCAATGTGCTGTTTATCAGCAATCATTACGAATTTCACTGCTGTTTCCGTGTCGAAACTCTAAAACATCAAGCATGAATCAAAAACTACGACAAAGCGAACTTTTTTCTTCGAAAATACCGTTTTCCGCTGCTCCTGCATGAACAACATCACATATCCCGTCGCTATTTTTCGGAACTCTTCCCGAATGGCGCCCTCTGTTGGCAGATCATCAGACATTCGCCAATAATGCTTAAATACTTTGAAATAGAATCCAAATGAGGAAATACAATGCAGACAAATTACAAAGATGCCTAGATTATGAACCGAGCGCTTCGCCTCAGGTGAGAATCGAGCACACACCACCCGATTTCTGGGCCCTTGTGATCCGGAAGGCGAAAGGCAATGGTAGTAGCATTGACTATCACATGATCATCACAATGGTAAGTACTGATAAGTTATGGCAGATATGCCATCGATTCTGAGAGAAGGAGCAGATTGGCTTTGTGCTGCAACCTGTTTGTGTCACAGGAGGTCCGGGTTAGATTCCCGCTTAAGGCCAAGCGTTTTGTCCATAACACAGCAGCCTTTTGACAGCTTTTGCATGACCAGACGTGATCAACAATAGCTGTTAGCAATCAAAATAAGCAGTAGACTATTTTAATAACTGACCTGCGTTTCTGCTTTGAGCTGCTCACATGGCTCCCTCTCCTCGTCAGTACTTTCTACCATTTTTTCACAGATACCTTAATTAAAGACAATGTGATCGTAACAGATGTGAAGCATAGGATTCTGTGCCAATTATTAAACACCTACCAGTAAAATTATGCCCGTCATACCACAACAAGGTACTCCAAGTTTGAGTTGGTCTCATGTGTAAGGCAGCGAATAGAGGATTTTGGCCAAGTGATTGCAACAGAAGATCCGTGAATGCCGTGCCTTGTTCTAGTTCACATTTTCCCGTATCCAGCACAAGACGCGTTGGCGTTGCATGGATTACCTTCAAAAGATACATCAGTTACTAATGCCAAACTTGGAAGAGGGCTCAAGCATATTTCGCACTTCACCTTCGCACCGAGCCGTTCGCACTCAGCTGCTAATAGAAGGACGAGCTTCCTCTCCAGGATTCCGACGCTTCTCGTTATAGCGGGATCGAACAGTAGCGCGTTCGAAGAGTGGAGCCACCTAGACTCTCAATTAATCAGAGCTCTTAACACCTTTATCAAGACCTGTGTCACCGACGATGGACAAGCAAAGATTAAAGATACGAATATGAAGTATTCTGTGGCTGAAAAATACTGGCATAATTCTTTCGCGACTTCTTAATCAAAGGACAACTTTTGAAAGCGTTACTTCTCGAGGACTACAAATGATTTCAAAAGTCACACTCCTGTTTGAGTCAATGTTGATGGAAACGTTCAGGGCGTTCAAGTACGAACGAAATGTCAGAAGTCATCTAACTCAACCGTCGCCGTCGCCTCTGACGCACTGCTCGCCGACCATTGTTTTACATTTGAATTACGGAGTAATAAATTACAGTCAAACTTGAAGTTCACCTGCTGAGTGACATGACGACCTGGTCAGCACGCTTATTGGCACTGTGAGCAATATCTCGGACACATTCTGTCAACATTAGCTTCAGAACTTTCAAAGCCGCGTCCACAGCAGCCCCTTCATCAAAAGCCGAGATAGTATTCCTAAACAGAGGAGAATTCACAAACCAAGA